CGTTCTTCTCCACGACCGGCGTCGTCGCCCAAACGCAGCAGCCAACGTACTTTACGCGCCGAGCGCGCCCATGTACTGCCCCGGTGTACGACGACCGCCACCAGGCTCTTCCGACGTCGGTGCAAGCGCCGTTGATGCTCGAGGTACCGAGTCGCCGCCAAGGCACCTTTGCGCGCTACTGCACCAAGCTCGGCAACATGCTCTTGCTGGTGCTCCTGAGCCTCGTGAGCATGTCCTTCTCGATCGGTCTCTTCGTCGTCATCATCGTCGGCGTCAGCTGCGGCATTGGATTCCTCCCGCTCGCCTGCGTCGGCCTCGTTGTCCTCAACTGCCTAATGGCGTGCGTCAAGCCGCTCGCGACCTTGGACGAAGCACTCTTTCGCCAGCGCCAGCAGCTCTACGAAGCGATCGTCAGCTCCTAATAGTTTCGGTATAACTTTCAACGGGTATAGGATGGCAACTTATTTGAAGCCGAATGACCACCACCCGTTTTGTGTTTCTTTTTTCTTGAACGGATCTCCTCTTCAGCAATGAGTTTCTATTTTTCTTGAACATATCTCGCTTTCAGGAACAGGTGGGACGTGGCGCTCACAAGCCAATGGCCCCCGCCTGAGGAGCCAAGCATTTAAGAGGTTGAAGCCGTCGCTTCAAGAATGTATTGGTCGTTCTCGGTTGACGCAGTGCTTCTTCCATGGACGGTCCTGTGGACAGCCGCAGTGCCTGATAGGTCACCTCGACACCTATTTCGCGTGTGCCATCGGCGCCTCGCGTTTAAACTACAAAAACGCAGCCTCCGTTGGTTGCCCACGAGCCGTTTCGCGTGCGTACGACGTGTTTACCCAGTTTCGAAACGGCAAAAACGCATTTACCGTTCCGGTGCGTATTAGACATGGGTGGACAGGTGGCGAGAAGGCCGGTTGCCCATCACGGGTATGCACCGTCTGCTGGTCACGCGCATCATCCGAGCGCGACCTCATGGCAGCCTCCGCGACGCAGTAGTAGTTCGCGCCAACGAATCATTCCAAAAGCGAGGCCAACGCACACGCTGCCACGTATATGCGTCAGGGTCTCGTATGCATTCGCAAAAGGCTGGTCATGTGGGCTGTCGGGGCCGCTTTGTTGGCGTCGACGCGCTCTGGCAGCCAATCGCAGCGCTGCATCGGGCCTGACACGGCGTGTGTCACGCTGGTCGGCAGCTGAGGTCTGGTCGGACGTTCGTTTACAGCCGTTGCCGTAGTCGCTGGATGTCATTTACCTTTTCACAGGATGACGACCGAGACGCTGCATCGCTTTGTCGAGCCGCGCCACTTTGCCGTGAAGGAGCTCGCGACGCACTGCACCGTGTGCACGGGCGAGTACACCAACTGGCAGCGCAAGCACAACTGCGCCATGGTATCGCTGCCTTCATCCTCACGGCAAGGCCACTGATGATGGATCCGAATAGTGCGGCGAGGTCGTCTGTGCCCAGTGCATGGACGTGCGGTCCATCACAGTGCCCAACAAGGGCGCGGCCAAGGTCTCTGTCTGCTTTGCGTGCACCGTGCGCTGCGAGCACAAGTACCACTGCGACACCAAGCGCGCAGCCGGCGACGACCAAGAGCCCGTGAACGAGGCGCCGGCCGAGCATACGTACGTAGATATCATGTCGAGAAGGATGTGCAGTCGCTCATGCAATGAATTAGCTACACGGCGTCGATGGCGCTCATGGACAAGCGCGAGTTCCTCCGCGTCGACGCGCTCTTCCACTACTACAAGGGCTGCCCAGAGCACAACCACGAGAAGCCCGTGCTCACGATCGAGTGCATCGCACCCGTCGATGCGTGGGTGCTTGACGTCCACAGGCACCAGTGCGTTGCGTGTGCGCGCAAGTTTAGCACACTCTTGCGGAAACACCACTGCCGCATCGTACGTTGCCCCTCTACGTTCTTATCGCGGCTTGCTCATGTCGTACTCTCGTTGTTAGTGCGGCGAAGTTGTCTGTAAAAACTGCATCCAGTCCAAGAGCGCGCTCTCGACTGGCACCGACCGCGTCAACATCCAAGTGTGCAAACTGTGTTTTCTGAAGTACTATTTTGTCAACTAACGTCCAATTATTGTCCATGTCCTGTGTACGTTCCAAACGACTTGCGATTGAAAGTTGCCTCGGGCTAGTACGACGCACGACGCGGCGGCAGCAACGAAGAGAGGCGGCGCTGGCAAGGACACGGCGTCCAGGCAGGCTTCAAGGATCGCTCGCGCACGATTCAAAGATACCAATGTAGCAGATCCTTTGAGCGTCAACACGAGGGTGCCTCCGTCTGCTGCACATCGCACCAATGATGCTACAGGTGTCGCTTTCCTCCATCTGGAAGAAAACAGCAACGTTGCAAGTGATGCTTCAAGCATCGTCAACATCGCACGCACAGATGTCGGGGATTCGCGACGTAGTCATGCTCGGACGGGCGGCGTTGCAGCGTATGCAAAGTAGCAAGTCTCTTCTAGAAGACGCTTAGCTTCTGTACGCTTACTCGATTCCTGTGCCTGTACCTACCGGCATTACATGATTGTACTGCGTATATTGGCACTGCAAAAATTCCAAATTGCACTTTCTCTTTATCCGGATGGTTCCGGATACAACGGCCCACGAGGCTGCCACGAGGGCCTGAGAAATTCCTTCGTTGCAGCGCCTGAAGCATTCGAATGCGAGAGAGCATTACCAGATAGAGTATCGCAAAGAGGGAATGTGCGCATCGAACAGCATCGACTGCCGCTGCGCGCATCGAAGCTGCATGTCCATCGCACAGTGAAGGAGTCTTCCCTGGCAAGAGCGAAGAAGACATGAGCTGGCTGTTCAAGACGGTAGCCGCCGCCGTGCGAACCGAGGGCTATGGCTATGGGTGATGTCTAGGACAGCGCCAAGCAGCTGCGCGAGGCCGCCAAGGCAGGCCAGGTCTCCATTGTGGCCACCTTGCTGCAGGCCGGCGCCAACCCGAATGCCTCCGACTGGGTGCGTTCTGCAGGACCTGCGCCTTGAATTCTGATGGGATCTGGCAAAGGCGGGCGACACGGCGTTGCACGTGGCGGCTGAGCGCGGCCAGACGCGGTGCATTGAGCTGCTTTTGCAAGCCGGCGCCGATGCCAAC